GAGTTGGACAGTCTTGTTGCCCAGGCTAGAGTGCATGGTACAGTCTCTGCTCGCTGCAACCTCCGCCTCCCGGGCTCAAGCTATTCTCCTGCCTCGGCCTCCTGAGTAGCTGGGATTACAGGTGCCCACCACCACGGCCAGCTAATTTTTCTATTTTTAGTAGATACAGGGTTTCACCATGTTGGTCAGGCTAGTCTCAAACTCCTGACCTCAGAAGATCAACCCACTTTGGCCTCTGAGAGTGCTGGGATTATAGGCATGAGCCACCACACCTGGCCCTTCCCTGTATCTTAAAATTTTTCAGAAGTTTTCTCTCTGTGAGAATGTATTAACACATAGGAATATTAAAATAAGAAGAAACAGCATTTTAATGGTAAACACATAGTTTCACGGTATAGTTAGGACATAAGTATCAGAAAAACAATCTTTTTATATAGCTGTCCCTCAGTAGTATTTGGGATTGGTTCCAGGACTCCCACTCATACCAAAATCCGTGATGCCCAAATCTCTTAAGTAAAAAGGTATAGTATAGTCAGCCCTCCCTATCTGTGGGTTCTGCATTCACAGATAGGGAGGGTAGACCATATGAGGTTTGCTTATCTTCTTTAATCTTTACTATGGTAATCCCCTAAGAAGATAGGAACCTTAGTACCTATTAAGTGTTTGATAAATGAGTAACTAAATGCAGCACCCTAAAATAATTAACAGTTTTTGTCCCATCTATAACTGAATTGTACTATATGTGAAGTTATAATATTAAGCTAGTTTTCAATTATACAGATTGCTAGTTTTCAATTATACAGATTATCTTCATTGTCTTATGTAGATAAAGTACCAAAATTCATAACCAATTTATAATCTGTGTTTAGAGGGTGATGAAGAAGATGAAGCTAATAAAATTGAGGCCTTACATAAAAGAAGGAATTTACTTGCTGCTTTCAGCAAACTTATCATTTATGACATTGTTGACATGCATGCAGCTGCAGACATCTTCAAACACTACATGAAGGTATAGTTACATATTCTTATTTTTCTCCTTCCTCTAACTTGCAGAGAAATTTGCAATTTAAATGAAAGGATGATGACAGAAGCTAAAACTGACAACTATTCACCTATGTAATGTGGATGATGTTCTGATAGTTTCTCTCTTTTATGTAAGCTTTTTATCAGTCTGTACCATTATATCAGTTCCATTGAGTGAGAGTTCCAGCATTTATATGAAAGAACATACCTTCTAGTTACTTTCATTTTCATAAGCACCATTTTGTTCCTGAGAAAAAGCAGTGCTCAGAACTCTTCTTGATGTGGCCTGGCAGGCACAGATGGGAGGGAATACTTCTCAGTTCTATTTAGAATATTGTATGTACCATTTGATCTACTTGTGTCATCATGTTTGGGTGTGGTCCAGTTCCAGTTGTAATATAGTAGCTGATTTATCATATTTTGCTGAACAACTGCACTGTGATGAGTAATGTGCTGGTAGCCAGAGGTTTAAGTAAGACATGATTTCTGCAATAAAGAGCTTACAGATTAAGAGTTAACTAACTGAACATAATATAATGTAATGTAACATACTGATAATGAATGACTGCCATGTGTTCATGCCATTTATATTTGAGACACTGTTGTAAGACTTTCACATTATTGTTGATCTTTGTAGTAACCCTGTGATGTAAGAAATAGTATCCTCATTTACAGATAAGGAAACTAAGGCTCAAGAGGTAAACCTTCCAGGGTTATACGCAACTATTAAAGTAACAGAAACTGGGATTTTATTTTACGCTTGCCTAACTTCAAAGCTTAGCTCTTTTCACTGGACCACAAAGACTCAGCATGATTATTGTTGTGATAGATGTATAAATTACTAACACCAAATAGAGAGACAGACTTAAGTGAGAGGAGCCAGAGAAGACTTCCTAAAGCTAATGTGTAAACAGAGTTATATGGATGAATAGGAGCTTACTAGATTAGCATGGGAAGGAAGACAAGTCCTTGCCAAGACAGCAACATAAATATGCCTGCTTGTTTCAGCTCATTTTTCTCTACTTAGTTCACAAAGAAATCATGAAAGAACTTGTCAAACTAATGATTGATATCCAAATAGAGTGTCATATTTGCATGTTGAACCTTTCTAAAAGAAAATGTCGTGATCTGTTAATAAACTTCTGCTTGCTCCCAGTGACATTTTCCTTTCCAAGTATTCACAGGCATTACATTTAATAGTGTATTCTGGGCCGGGCACTGTGGCTAATGCCTGTAATCCCAGCACTTTGGGAGGCTGAGGCGGATGGATCACGAGGTCAGGACCATCCTGGCCAACATGGTGAAACCCTGTCTCTACTAAAAATACAAAAAATTAACTGGGCGTGGTGGCACATGCCTATAATCGCAGCTACTCAGGAGGCTAAGGCAGGAGAATCGCTTGAACCAGGGAGTCAGAAGTTGCAGTGAGCCAATATCACGCCACTGCACTTCAGCCTGGCAATAGATTGAGACTCTGTCTCAGAAAAGAAAAAAAAAAAAGAAAAATTCCTAAAGCTCTATATGCCCACAAAACTAATATTATGAAACTGAGGGCTTTCCTTATG